TATAAGTGGGCAAAATTAGAGGTATTTTACAAAGCCAGTGGCTGCGAACATTTGGGTCAAATATGGATCTTCTTTATTGCACTGTTTTGTGTAGTCACAGTACCGACGTTACTAGTTTCCGGTATATAACACATATTCATACAAATAAAATGCTAGAATATGTTTTTAATGGGAAGCATGTTAATTTTTTATTATTTCAGTATTAATACAAAAGAAATCATATCAGACTATTTGATGATCTAGTATTTTATCGTAAAATAAAAACAGAATGATTACAACCCGGTTATTGATGAATATCTGCCTACTCTAAGTATAGAGAACAATGTACAGAACTACAGACGAAATATTGATTTCTGTTTGTTCCGGACGATCAGTGACTCTGTTTGTAATACAAACGATGTATTTATCATCAGAATGATTATAACGGTAAAACATTTTGGAGAGAGAATACATTGAGGTATTCAGTGGCCTGATAAACCATCACATATGGTATATATATTCTTATATATTCAACTCATAGTGTTTGTAAATGGGTATCGAATACTCAAGCTAATTAAGTGGATTAGGTACTTGTAATTAACTGTTTTTTGCTGCTCAGTCTGTGGCAAAATAATCTGAAATACATAGGAAAAATCGATGCTGTTTTCCTCCTACTTTTAACGACCAGATGTGAAGTGTTTGACCACACTGTCCGCCGGTCAGTAACCTTAACTTGTTTGTCCACTCTGTCCTCAGGTCACCTTAACTTGTTTGACCACACTTTCATTTGGTCACCTTACTTTGTTTGACCACACTGTCCTCAGATCACCTTACTTTGTTTGACCACTGTGTCCTCAGGTCACCTTACTGTGTTTAATCAGTGTCCAGTCATTTACATATTGACATAAACGATCGTTTTGACCTGAAAAGCGGACGTTGATCTCTTGTCCCATATTAAGTGGTTAATATATTAAACACTTTTATCATATCACACGAACATTTCTGGTGCCCGGGTGAGAGATTATTTCGTTTGCTAAGACTATGTTAGTAAATGAAACGTGTTACAACTCGATGTCTACAATTTTCAGCAAGATTAGGATTTTAAGAGTTGCACCAAAATACAAATGATATACCTATATGATAAATATCTCTATAATAGCAACATATGCCTATGTTATACAATACATAACTAAAAATAATACAATATTACTGTGATATACATCACATGATGCCATATGATGTAAACATGCTAAATACTGAGCGATGTTGTTTGGTGTATTAAGGTCTTCAAAATGTAAGAAAAAACAAAACAAAAAAACAAAAAAACAATGGGAAATTCTCACTCTACGTAAGGTATATAACTATGTTTGGAACAAACTGCTCCGGTTGAGGAAAACGTCAAACTAGAATTTTGTTTTTGTAAAAATGGTGACAATGATTTTATTAACTTGTTAACAAATTAATAAAGGTATTAAGATATGTTTTATTAAGATGTAATAAGACATGCTTGTAATATATATTCTCCGGATTTAGTTCGTGTTTGATAGGTCGTATGACAGAATCACTTGTATAAAGTTCCAATCCGGGTTTGTTTGTTCGTCTCTAAGTTATTTAACCTGTGATCGTCTTAGTAAATATCTACAGCACTTGTTTTTGACGGTTGGTAATGACAACAATAAAACAGTTCGTGAATAAGGTCACCCATAATGGCCCACAATACTTTTTAATGAATATTGATATCTTGATATAATACTTACAGGTACTCCGTCATATTCATAGACCGGTTTTGAATGTTAGGATACTTTCCAATCATGTTGATATCACAAGTCTATATATTCTTAGCTTTAGTTTCATTTTTCCAAATATCTAAGGGTGGATATACATTAGTGAAAGTCCTGAATTAGAACGGCAACACGTGAGAATCGGAAGTAGTTTCAACACGATAGGCAATGTATGAATCAAGTCATATTTCCACTCAAAATTAATCAAAATTCAATATTTCATAAAACATTAAAATCACTAGTGAACACAACGAAAAGCAGTTGAAATTTGCATTAAAAACACACGAAAAGTATGATATGTAGGTAAAACAATATGCTTTAAATGATAGCTTTAATTTATATTTTGTAAGTATGACATAATCAGTGATATCTGTCAAATGTCCAAACTTACTAGCAGCTTTTTGTGTCAGTACATTTCTATAATTGTAACAAATATCCAGTATAACAATCAATAGAGTGTATTAACACACAACATTAAGTAGCATGTGTTGTCATAATCTTAATTAAAAGTTTCTAAACTTTGATTTCTCAATATCAAATGTTTTTTATTTGTTAGGATACAGAGATTTCTGTAAAGTCGTATATTCCCGTTGGGTACAAACTTCTGCTTTACGTAAGCACTTGATTGCGTGCATAAATCTTACCTGGGTCATCCACTGGTATAAAAAAATCCATGTCAATTTCAATCTGTTTATTATTTTGTGGAATCACGAATGCTTAACCTAGTAATAGTCATAGTATTCCTGTACTGGTATTTCTTATAGCTCTCCTATCGTTCTGGTCGTTCTTATATCGTGCTTATCGTTCGTATAGTTCTTCTCTCGGTCTTATATAGTTCTTCTATCGGTCTTATATCGTTCTTATATCGTTCTAATATCGTTCTTATCGTTCTTATATCGTTCTTATCGTTCTTATAGTTCTTATATCGTTTTTATATAGTTCTTCTCTCGTTCTTCTATCGGTTTTATATCGTTCTTATATCGTTCTAATATCGTTCTTATCGTTCTTATATCGTTCTTATCGTTCTTATAGTTCTTATATCGTTTTTATATAGTTCTTCTCTCGTTCTTCTATCGGTCTTATATCGTTCTTATATCGTTCTGATCGTTCTTATCGTTCTAATATCGTTCTTATAGTTCTTATATCGTACTTATCCTTGTTATGGAAACGTGAGTCAATATTTTTTCATGGTGGTAACGTTGAAATGAAAGTTCTAATATCACCGTTTTGATGACTACACTGTTCATCAGACAAATGACCAGAATGAAGTGTATCTCCTTTGACGTTCAAAGTGTACGAAATGGTAATGCATTCACACGACTTTTCGGCTGTCATAATAATGTGGAAAGTAGTGTGGTGAATTGGCCGCTGGTTGTTTGTCCGATGAAGGTGACAGTGTAGTCACTGAAACATCACATGTAATGTTTTAAGTGGTTGTGATATAAAAACGTCTATTCAATCAATATATGTTATTTAACCCAAGTCAATACCAAATACATTAAGAGAATACAGAGACTGCTAGCCTGCTCTCATTGGGCAGAGTGAGACAGATCACGTGATATTTTAATTAATATTACACCAGAAGTTGCCTTTACATTTCAGATCTTTACAAGCTGAATATCATTCTAAAGAATAATTGATTCCCAGTACAAATTATGGTTAAATCCTGAAATTATCTAATGTTTATAGAAAAGGAGTAGATCTATGGAAAAATGAGACGATAATTAACATAGACTTACTACAATATGTATTTGTAAACTTCTAAGTCGTTCGGATGTCTTTGTTATCGATTGACAAAAAGTTATGTTAAAGAACATATACACTGCTGGTCTCAAACCATTCACAGGCACAGAGCCTAAACAGACAATTCTTGTGAGCTGTATTAACAATAACTTTGACCATTCTATTACGTAACGAATAAATTCTTTCTCAAGAATAATATAGTTACAAGGATACTTGAAACGTTGGACCTGCAGTTTGATAGGTGTCCTTAACAAAGGACAGAGGATCTCAAATTGGATTTTTATATTCATTGATTGACAAAACATTTTCTTCTAAGACAAATTAAGACTATACCAAATCGATGGTGTCAGTAACAGTCATGAATAGAAAACAAAAAGCATCAATTTTTGTTGATGTTTGTTGTGTACTTTAATGTACCGAATATAAACCATTCCTTGTAATAAGAGGCTATAGAACCTATCTGATATTTTCTTCCGTCAAAATGATTTTTCTGTTAAGGAACATTCCGGACATTTTGTCTCGACGTTTAATGGGCAAGTTTGTGTATTATTCTGCCTAAGTAACCGATACGTTCTACCAAACCTAGGCAGATGTTGACGACGACGACGACGACGATGATGATGGTGATGCTGATGATGATGAGTCAACACTTAGAACTTTTTTGACTCTGGGTATTCTAAGAGCAATATTGAAAATTTGCGATTCTTGAATGTGATAGTTTGTGGAGTAGGATTTTTTATCGTTAATGCAAATCAATGTTTTACCTTCTGTAATTCTTAGAGAATCTTTGTCATCTGATTTGCATCTTTTGGGAATAAAACTGGCAAATGAATGCAAGTCATCATTTCCATAAGTTACCACTGATTTACCACTTTACTACCTAAGCATTCTGTATAGGGTTGCTCAGAAGTCTGACGTGATGCAGAATTCTATACCTAATGATATTTCTTCATATTTCATATATAACAAACGATAAGCATACTGGTATATTTAGTATTTAATTTAACAAATGTAAAATTCAATGATACAACATACAGAAGCATATTTTACCACAACCTGCAATTATGATTTCACACATACTCTTCATTTTTGTATTCAATTTTTGCATTTTGTTCAACTCGGAAACAGACAAATATACTTAAATTGAATACATTGACCATCAGCACTTCCGGTGTCTGATTACACAGCAGTTTGTCGGTCACGAAGCAACATTATAAATATTTGCTTTTCCTTGATTGGTCTTTCATCGTGACGTCATGATCAGTAATGACTTAAATTATTAGTGGACGGAAGTAAAAAAGCCAAATATCGTAGTAAGTAGACTAAACGTTTGTATAGACAGAGGATATGTATTATTTACTGCTAACCAGATGATCATGAACCTTATACACTGCAGGCAAACAGAGTGCCTTTTAGGGAAAAGAATGAAATATTTTATCTTGAACATCTTGGATGTCCTTTAAATAGTCACGGCGCCTTTAAGTCCTCAGCGATAAATGAAGGAGTCATCATCTTGTCGTATCTTATGTTTTTAAGTGGCGTGTAGATTATCGTTTATTCTGATTGTCAATGATAATTCGACTGAAACATAATCCACAGGTCTCACAGACTGGAGCGAGGAAACATTGAACAGCAGTACCGAAGAACTTTTGGCAGCATCCCATGTAGATGGAGAATATACGTAAGCATGGAGACAAACACCATACCTGATCAAAGGTTATTAGGGCAAATTCACATCCCCAGAACAGAGCGATACAGATGCCACAGATTCCTGTCATGAATTTGTAGCAGCAGTTTTTGCCGTTTGTAAAACACCAGAAGCTAGTTTCCCATACACAGTCACAGCTACGGGTCCCGTCTGGCTCAGCCAGCACATCTTCAAAATTCACCTGTCAAAATAATTCCAATCTGTGTCTAAGTGCCATATACTAATAACACACGCAGGTTTAAACAAGGCATGAAGTTTAAAGTCTAGTTTATAATTCAAATACGATTTGTGGGATGAAAACAACTGTAAAAACAAAAATGTAGTATATTTAATTTTAAATGTTTAAAAAAATGTCTGATGATTTTACGCTGTTCTTATATTTCTTACGTCGTTTGAGTGCTGAAATAAACATAGTTACATAGCTAATTATGAGGTCACAATTCAAAGCCCCTCATTTATCAGTTGTTCAGACTCGTGCCTTGCCAATGTTTGATTTATAAACAACACTTTTATCAACTGTCAAGTTCAATATGCCACGAAAAAGAAACGAAAGTAAAAGAACAAACAAACTACTAAACAAGACAAGACATCTACATTACACATCGCTTAACTTTATCTCACCTGTCACAAATTCAATACACAAATCACTACATCACTTCTTATATCGATAATGCTGAAGAGGATCACTAGTTCAGTTATCTAATTCGCCAATGTTATGAGAGAAGTGAAACACTCATATTCAACGCTTCTTCATGGATTCCTGGACATCATTTAACAAGTTGTATAAGTTAATTAAAACATATTCCAACAGTGAAAAATATGATACTAACAATAAAATACGTTAATTACCTGTAGGTGGGAATTGATTGCGTACGGGTCTCTGTTCCCTAAGTCCACCGCCATATTGAATAAATATTGCAAGTTTGACCCGTCTCAGGCATGTAAATTGGAACTAACTTTTAAAGCTTTGTGCTTGTATATAAATCAGGCACCTCCTCTCTGGTCTGATTACATTGTTCCGTGCCTGTCACGATATTCTAACTTCGTGACGTAGACATTAAAAGTGTTTCTAGTCCCTTGCTCACTGTTAAACACTCAGGCTTGTACTATTTTCGGGATTATTAACGTTCATGTTCCTGGTTGTTAAAACCTGTGTATTACGCATATTGCTGTATCAAGTTTCCAGATCATTTGTTTAGTTGAGGACTACTTTTAAATTCTAGCATGCTACACTTAACGTTTCTTTAATAGCAATGTATCTTTCAGATATACAGTTTAAAAATAACATTTCTCTTTAATTTTAAACATGTACACGGAGAACTTTTTAATTCCCTACAGGAACACTCTTGAACAATCTTTGTTGAAGTATGAATTATTTCCCCACTATTTACACATGTTTTTGCTGTATTTAGTATCACATTCGTCTTTCCTTAGGGGACCGGGGTTCAATTTCCCGGTCTGACGTAGAAATGGCTTAGATCTCCTGCCCGACCACGCGAGGTTTCCTCGAGGACTCCGACTTCCTCTCACCATTAAACTCCAAATCTCACACCTGGACCAACAAGATTGTTCAGTGTAATTTGACATAAGCGTAACTTGTAAAACAATTCTTGTTAATTAGAGAAAGTTCATAGTTTAAACGTTTTTTACCGCCCGTTAACAACAAGAAAGTCAATTAAGTACTACTAGAAAAGCTGAGTCCATCGAGTACTCTTATAACGAACGAGTCTATCTATCAATCCTACAACAGTTGAGTCCATCTATCAATCCTATAACAACTGTGTCCATCTATCAATCCTACAACAGTTGAGTCCATCTATCAATCCTACAACAGTTGATTCCATCTATCAATCCTACAACAGCCGAGTCCATCTATCTATCCTACAACTGTGTCCATCTATCAATCCTACAACAGTTGAGTCCATCTATCAATCCTACAACAGTTGATTCCATCTATCAATCCTACAACAGCCGAGTCCATCTATCAATCCTACAACAGCCGAGTCCATCTATCAATCCTACAACAGCCGAGTCCATCTATCAATCCTACAACAGCCGAGTCCATCTATCAATCCTACAACAGCCGAGTCCATCTATCAATCCTACAACAGCCGAGTCCATCTATCAATCCTACAACAGCCGAGTCCATCTATCAATCCTACAACAGCCGAGTCCATCTATCAATCCTACAACAGCCGAGTCCATCTATCAATCCTACAACAGCCGAGTCCATCTATCAATCCTACAACAGCCGAATCCATCTATCAATCCTACAACAGCCGAGTCCATCTATCAATCCTACAACAGCCGAGTCCATCTATCAATCCTACAACAGCCGAGTCCATCTATCAATCCTACAACAGCCGAGTCCATCTATCAATCCAACAACAGACAACAGCCGAGTCCATCTATCAATCCTACAACAGCCAAGTCCATCTATCAATCCTACAACAGTTGAGTCCATCTATCAATCCTACAACAGCCGAGTCCATCTATCAATCCTACAACAGCCGAGTCCATCTATCAATCCTACAACAGTTGAGTCCATCTATCAATCCTACAACAGCCGAGTCCATCTATCAATCCTACAACAGTTGAGTCCATCTATCAATCCTACAACAGCCGAGTCCATCTATCAATCCTACAACAGCCGAGTCCATCTATCAATCCTACAACAGTTGAGTCCATCTATCAATCCTACAACAGTTGAGTCCATCTATCAATCCTACAACAGCCGAGTCCATCTATCAATCCTACAACAGCCGAGTCCATCTATCAATCCTACAACAGCCGAGTCCATCTATCAATCCTACAACAGTTGAGTCCATCTATCAATCCTACAACAGTTGAGTCCATCTATCAATCCTACAACAGTTGAGTCCATCTATCAATCCTACAACAGCCGAGTCCATCTATCAATCCTACAACAGCCGAGTCCATCTATCAATCCTACAACAGCCGAGTCCATCTATCAATCCTACAACAGACGAGTCCATCTATCAATCCTACAACAGTACAACAGTTGAGTCCATCTATCAATCCTACAACAGCCGAGTCCATCTCCTACAACAGCCGAGTCATCAATCCTACAACAGCCGAGTCCATCTATCAATCCTACAACAGCCGAGTCCATCTATCAATCCTACAACAGCCGAGTCCATCTATCAATCCTACAACAGCCGAGTCCATCTATCAATCCTACAACAGCCGAGTTCATCTATCAATCCTACAACAACTGTGTCCATCTATCAATCCTACAACAGCCGAGTCCGCCTACCAATCCTACAACAGTTGAGTCCATCTATCAATCCTACAACAGCCGAGTCCATCTATCAATCCTACCAGAGCCGAGTCCATTTATCAATCCTACAACAGCTGTGTCCATCTATCAATCTTACCACAGCCGAGTCCATCTATCAATCTTACCACAGCCGAGTCCGTCTATCAATCCTACAACAGCCGAGTCCGTCTATCAATCCTACAACAGCCGAGTCCATCTATCAATCCTACAACAACTGTGTCCATCTATCAATCCTACAACAGCCGAGTCCATCTATCAATCCTACAGCAGCCGAGTCAATCTATCAATCCTACAACGGCCGAGTCCATCTATCAATCCTACAACAGCCGAGTCCATCTATCAATCCTACAACAGCCGAGTCCATTTATCAATCCTACAACAGCCGAGTCCATCTATCAATCCTACAACAGCCGAGTCCATCTATCAATCTTACCACAGCCGAGTTCATCTATCAATCCTACAACAGCCGAGTCCATCTATCAATCCTACAACAGTTGAGTCCATCTATCAATCCTACAACAACTATGTCCATCTATCAATCCTACAACTGTGTCCATCTATCAATCCTACAACAGTTGAGTCCATCTATCAATCCTACAACAGTTGAGTCCATCTATCAATCCTACAACAGTTGAGTCCATCTATCAATCCTACAACAACTGTGTCCATCTATCAATCCTACAACTGTTGAGTCCATCTATCAATCCTACAACAGTTGAGTCCATCTATCAATCCTACAACAGTTGAGTCCATCTATCAATCCTACAACTGCCGAGTCCATCTATCAATCCTACAAAAGCCGAGTCCATCTATCAATCCTACAACAGCCGAGTCCATCTATCAATCCTACAACAGTTGAGTCCATCTATCAATCCTACAACAGTTGAGTCCATCTATCAATCCTACAACAACTATGTCCATCTATCAATCCTACAACTGTGTCCATCTATCAATCCTACAACAGTTGAGTCCATCTATCAATCCTACAACAGTTGAGTCCATCTATCAATCCTACAACAGTTGAGTCCATCTATCAATCCTAAAACAACTGTGTCCATCTATCAATCCTACAACTGTTGAGTCCATCTATCAATCCTACAACAGTTGAGTCCATCTATCAATCCTACAACAGTTGAGTCCATCTATCAATCCTACAACAGTTGAGTCCATCTATCAATCCTACAACAACCGAGTCCATCTATCAATCCTACAACAACCGAGTCCATCTATCAATCCTACAACAGCCGAGTCAATCTATCAATCCTACAACAACCGAGTCCATCTATCAATCCTACAACAGCCGAGTCCATCTATCAATCCTACAACAGCCGAGTCCTCCTGTCAATCCTACAACAACCGAGTCCATCTATCAATCCTACAACAGTTGAGTCCATCTATCAATCCTACAACTGCTGAGTCCATCTATCAATCCTACAGCAATTGAGTCCATCTATCAATCCTACAACAGCCGAGTCCATCTATCAATCCTACAACAGCCGAGTCCATCTATCAATCCTACAACAGTTGAGTCCATCTATCAATCCTATAACAGCCGAGTCCATGTATCAATCCTACAACAACTATGTCCATCTATCAATCCTACAACAGTTGAGTCCATCTATCAATCCTACAACAGTTGAGTCCATCTATCAATCCTACAACAGTTGAGTCCATCTATCAATCCTACAACAGTTGAGTCCATCTATCAATCCTACAACAGTTGAGTCCATCTATCAATCCTACAACAGTTGAGTCCATCTATCAATCCTACAACAGTTGAGTCCATCTATCAATCCTACAACAACTATGTCCATCTATCAATCCTACAACTGTGTCCATCTATCAATCCTACAACAGTTGAGTCCATCTATCAATCCTACAACAGTTGAGTCCATCTATCAATCCTACAACAGCCGAGTCCATCTATCAATCCTACAACAGCCGAGTCCATCTATCAATCCTACAACAGCCGAGTCCATCTATCAATCCTACAACAGCCGAGTCCATGTATCAATCCTACAACAACTATGTCCATCTATCAATCCTACAACAGTTGAGTCCATCTATCAATCCTACAACAACTGTGTCCATCTATCAATCCTACAACAGTTGAGTCCATCTATCAATCCTACAACTGCCGAGTCCATCTATCAATCCTACAACAGCCGAGTCCATTTATCAATCCTACAACAGCCGAGTCCATCTATCAATCCTACAACAGCCGAGTCCATCTATCAATCCTACAACAGTTGAGTCCATCTATCAATCCTACAACAGTTGAGTCCATCTATCAATCCTACAACTGTGTCCATCTAACAATCCTACAACAGTTGAGTCCATCTATCAATCCTACAACAGCCGAGTCCATCTATCAATCCTACAACAGCCGAGTCCATCTATCAATCCTACAACAGCCGAGTCCATTTATCAATCCTACAACAGCCGAGTCCATCTATCAATCCTACAACAGCCGAGTCCATCTATCAATCTTACCACAGCCGAGTCCATCTATCAATCCTACAACAGCCGAGTCCATCTATCAATCTTACAACAGCCGAGTCCATCTATCAATCCTACAACAGCCGAGTCCATCTATCAATCTTAC